TTTTTTTTTTTTAATTTCTTTCCCTCTCATCATAAACTGAGTCAGCCATCTTTGAGGACAATGACCAGCAGCCCTAGATATGTACTTTGTGCTACAATTTCTGAGTTATTATGTATTATGGATACTGATCACATCTTTATGTTTTGGATTGATCTACTTTTGATTAGAGTTTAATTTATATCTTTTCAGTCGAGCAACCCAAAGTATCGGTCTCTTGTCCTATACATTTTTGCGGAGAACGAGACAAGATGATGTAATTGTTCCAATGGTAATGTCTTGATTCTTAACAGAACCTACCTAAATTTAAAACATTGGAAATTCATTTTTTCTGCATTACTACTGCAGTTCTTATTGGAACTATATTGCAGATTGATTTTGATACCTCTGACAGCTGGGCAGAACCGATTGTCTTTAGCTCGAAGGATGATTGGTCCAGTAACTTGAAAACCATTATTCAATGGTCTCCCTTCGCCTCAAAGGATGATCTAATGCAACAGGTTCTATTTACATGCGAAGAGATATCCCCCTTTGTAAAATTTTAAATCAGTGGCATTACCATATTGTGTTATTGATTGCTCACTGAACCTAATACAATGTTACTGAATATATTTATTTAACAGTCTGAATATCCCCTCAACATATCATTTCTATGCATAAAGTTCCTGAGTTGCGGGAGATAGTCACTTTAAATTATTACTATTTAATGGCATTGCATTAAATGCTCTCTTCACTAGTCTTTTGAACACTGATATTTATGTGGAGATGCAAATGCGATTAGAAATGGTTTTTCCATATTTTTTATGTTTATCTTTTAGACTCTGTTTTTATCTGAATTTTATGATTTTCTTAGTGATGTTTTTTTCTACTTTTATGGGATTGAATGACGCAGTTCCGGACAAGTTTAAATTAAACCATCCAGATTGTATGTAATGAAAGATTCTTGTGAAATTACAGTTTTACTCAGTTCTGTGTCCATATGGATGCTCTGTGGAATTGATTTGCTAATTGCCATCTTCCATGTTATGTAAATTTATGTAAATGCTAGATTTGGAGATCATTCCTCATTTCTTGTGATTGTGAATTAGAATATAGTTTACCTCCATGATTTTGGTCTTTATTTTATTCCCTGCTCTTTGTTAATGGATGTATTTTTATCATTCTTTCCAGTTTGATGATATTGGATCACATGGGACGAAAATTATCGTTTATAACTTGTGGATGAATGACGAAGGCATTTATGAATTGAATTTCGATGATGACGAGGAGGTACTGATGTCTTTCCCAGGCGGAGGGATAATTATAGTGTTTGCAGCCAGATTTTGTGGTTGCATGACTATTTTATTCTGATATGCGCGACTTAAATTTACTTGTGCACAAGCATAACTCTCTTTTCCTGAATTTGGTTTTTCTAAATGATGTTATATTTAGCCATTAATTGAGGCTCCAGGTATCTTGCATCTGATTAGCAGAGACTTCGATTTGGACTCTCTCTCTTTAAAGTTATACACTCCTAAAAGATGGTGCTGAAGCAAGTTTGAATTCCCAGGAACTCTATCATCAAAATAGAACAACGGACAAGGATTTGATAGTATTATTTGTTGGGCAGTGTCTAGATATTGGAAATACTCAGTGTAGGAAGAGAAAATTTTATAGTGTATCTTCGTTTTCTAGTATTTATTTGTTTGTTGGGTCGGGCCTTTCTGACCTAAGATGTTTAAATTGGATTTTTAGGCTTTTGAACCCTCTTAAGATGAAAAACCTATTCCTGTTATTAACTTTCCTAATTTTCCTTCCACGTGAGTGCTCATGTTTTACTATCAGAAGAGTAACATACAAAGAACATTGTACCATCTCAGCTGAGTTTATGAACATAAGGGATTGGTGCTTTCTATTTTGACATTAATGCAGGATATAAGGCTGAGAGACGAAGCTAATCAAGGAAATGCATCCAAAGCTACCAAGAAAACCCTTGAACTGCAATCTCATTTGTCCTACCGCATGCGGTTCTCATTGAGGGTGTGTACTTTTATTCTGTTTCTTCTTGTTGATTGTTTCCAGATATTGGTGTTTTGGTCATTTTGAATTAGAAGTCCAAAATGGTGAGGCTTTGAGTACATCACTGTGGAAGTTTTTTCCAATGAATGTTATATTTGCCTTGAGATGTATGTATGATAGCGGAATAGTTTTCATGAAGCTGCAGTAGCTGTAACTAGGGTAGAAATAACTAGACAGTTATTTCCGGAACATGGAATTCTTTATATACCTTTGAAGTTTTCACTACCTGGCTTTGGGGTGTCTTAGAATGTTTGTTATTTGACGAGTTCAGTAGTGTGTTGAAAATATGTCTCAACTTTGACATTCAATTCGTGCACGTCATAATTTGATTCATTTATATTTGCTTATGGATCTATACAGAGTTATAACAAACCTTTTCCTCAGGCATATGCGTCAATATTGTATCTCAAAAAGTTTACGAACTTCAAAATAATATTAAGAGGGAAGCCTGTTGAGCAGTTCAGCATTGCAGATGACCTGAAACACTCTAAAACAATCAAATACAGCCCCCAAGTTGGCCAGGGACTGAAAGAGGTATATTGCTTTTATTTAAGTTGACTTTGCACAGTTTGACTCATAGATGGATAACTTTTTGTGTTCACGTGGATGCAAGGTGGAGAAACGTGTAAATAGTATATCCAGTTTAGAAAGCCACACACAAATTTAAAGATTTCGACTGTTTCCTTTCTGAGGATTGGTGTGGAGATTACTGTATGTTATCCAAACTAGATGACATTTTCACACCCATTTTATGCCTTCTATTTTGATCTAATTGGTACTATCACTGATTACTGAACAATTTTATTTGCGGCTACCCAATTATATGCGTGCTCTAAAAGATGCAATGGCAAGTACTGTTTAGGTGATATTTTTTCGTTGATGCTAGAAACCTTAATTTTTCTTCAAAATAAATCCCCCTTCATGGATGGCAATTGGCATAGGTTACTACGGAGACCATCATTGGCTTCATTAAAGAAGCTCCTGCACTTGGAGTTTGCGGATTCAATGTTTACCATAAAAATCGTCTCATCAGGGTATGCTACTTGATACTTCCTAAATAGTTTGTTTCTACCTGATATCTTTGTGATGTTCCCTTAATTATAGATCTGGCTGGCAGTAAGACGTCCCATGTGTTTTTTTTTTTCTTTGTTAAGATATGAACCGACTATAATTTCGACAACAGACCATAGGCGTGGTACCATGTTATGTTTTGCTTGAGTTCAAATAATGTGTTGATTTCTATATCATAACAGCCCTATTGGAAAGTCACTGCAGATGGATCATCCAAAGGATATGGTGTTGTTGGTATGCTCACTCATCCAAAGTCCTGATACGAGTCTTCTTTATTTTCCTTCTTGTGCTCTGTGACTAACTTCTGGTACTCAGGAGTTCTTGAGGCAAATTTCATAGAACCAGCACATGACAAACAGGATTTTGAGAGATCAACTATATTTAATAAGCTGGAGTTGAGGTTGAAACAAATGGTCATGGAGTACTGGTATCCTTCTCACGCTTATTGCGCTTGTTTTCTTAACTTAGTTTTTCATGTGTTTTACCTGATGCCTATTCTCTTTTTGCTAGTGTAATTTTTTTCTGGTTTTTCTAATGTGGTTGCTAATGCCTCATGATTGGAGACATCCGATAATTTTGTCCCAAAATGGTGATTCTCTGTGTGCAACTCATTTTCATTTCGGAATTCCCTATGCATGCTTGTGAGCCGCCAATCATACTACATTCTTTCAGACTCGGGGGCAAGTACCAACAGTGTTATTAAACAATTGGTTACGAAACTTCAATTACATCTGCTTGATCAAAGAAATTAAGCAGGATTTGTTTGTATCTTGTTTAGATATTTCTTCCATTGCCCATTAGCTTAAATTGATATGTTTTCCAGTTTAAGACTTTCTTTAATTACAAAAAATGAAAAAAAAAAAGTAAGCAACTTATATTGAGCATTCCATTTGGTGACTTCTTTCGAGGCCTTGCATCTGTTTGAAATGCAATCTCCTAATCCATTAAGTTCCACTTCCTTTCTGTTTTCAGCACTGTCTTGGCATATGCCTTCTCTTTTTCGTGGTAAACTTCCTGCAGTGACGTTAAATGACTTAATTTCCACATGTCAACTTAGGAAAGGTAACTGTCACTTAGTAGGACATCTGCCTGAGGGTACGAGGAGGAGTGACATTCCAAATAAACTGCCTACACAAATTCAAGGTGATGGTAATGCATAACTGATTCTGCATCTGGAAGTTGCCTGTGCTCTATTTAACCTCTTTATTAGCACCACCACCTGCTATGAATACTTCAATTTGAATGGTGCAGCAAACAGAAACATCTATGAAATCAATTTCAACAACAAATCAGCAAATGTTCAGTCAACTTTAAGTCCTGACGCTGTAAGTCCTGTAATATTTTTATAAATTATTAGTGTCAGATATATCGAGACAATGGTTTCCAGGTCTTGTTAGAAATGGCCTCTATTTATGGGGATAACGACAGAAACTACTTTTCACGCTTGACCTCCCTACCGAAAAACCCAGTTATTCTATTGTTCCGAGATACAAATGCAACCTTTGAGGTGTGCATTTTCTTTATGAGAACCCCCCGTCAAGGGTGTAATTTGTTCGATGAAGCAAATGTAATGCGGATATATGTACTTTTGAGATATATCTGGGGTCTCTAATGTAACTAAACCGACCTTTATTATTTTTCCTCTAGTGTGTGTGTGTGTGTTCTCCTATGAATCATTTAATTTAATGCCTATATCTATTTCATTTTAAAAGAAAGGACTATTCCGTTGTTTATCGTGGTTTAACGGAGTTGTTTATAGGCTTCTCATCCAGAAACATCTCCAGATGACAGATCACTCGATCAGATATGTGAAGAGAACATCCAGCTGTTTATGAGGTACCTCAAGCATATAGTAGCTCGATATTTCTCATGCTACTTATAAACTTGTGCCACCTTAGAAATAGGTCAACGATATGACTATACTGTGGGATGTATCTAGTTCAACTTGTGTTCATGTTTTCCTAACATATCTTTGAACCTCTCCAAACAGGTGCAATGAGTATAAGTTGATGCAAGCTGAAAAGATTCAGAAGGTACAAAATCACTCTCTAGGGTTAATCACAAAATATACTCGTAAAAGTTTTAATCTAACCACAGCTTTGATTTCTTTCAAAATTACAAATACTCCCTTGATATTCAATACAACATCACATTGTTAAAACAATGCAAGCATCATCGGCTAGTTTGATACATCTTTGGGAAGTTCTTTGATCTATGGAAGAGAATTGTTTCATCTTTTTGTAATCAGACCAATTCTCATGCAGTGCTTGTTTAACTATCCCCTTTATTTATTTATTCACGTCGTATTATTTTACGAGCATTTGACCATGTAAACTAGACTAGCTCTCACATAGTACATATTATATGTATATTTAACTACCCCTATTTTGTACTTTGGTGCAAAGTAGATTGAGCAACTGGAAAAGGAGCTGGAGGAGACGAAAAACAAGTGTGCTAGGCTTTCTTATGACCTCGAATTGCAGAAGAAACATAGAATAGTGACCCACAGATAAAAGGCCTGTTGATGATAGTAAAACTTGTCAGCTCTTAATTGTTGCTTTATCGGCCACGGAAGGAAGTTTGCTTGGAGATAAGCTTACAGTTGCATCACCACCTTACCTCTCTGAATGTATTAGCTATAGGTATCTTAAATCGTCACTCATGTTCAAGCCAATGATGCCATTGTTGTTAGTTGTATGAGGCTGGATAGCACTATACAGTAGTGTTGCGAAGTTATGACTTACAATCTTTGAAAAGAGGATTCCGAAGAGCTTTATCAAATTGTGCTTACAATTGAAAGGTTAAAATCAAGATTTGTAAGATCTTTGTTGGGTGTTCATGCCCATCCATTTAAAACCAGCTACCTCAACACCTTTAGCAAGCAAATTTCTTGCTTTCCAATCGGGTAGCGGGAATCAAACTTGCACCTGTTAGCTTGGAAGTCTAGGGGTTACAGTCGATGTTGATTCTGCTTCTCTAATTCAAAACAGAACATGTAACGTTGATTCTGCTTCTCTAATTCAAAACAGAACATGAAACTTTGCTTTAATTCGGCTCCTTTATGGAAGATGAGTACATTCTTAGATCTAAGACGTGAATAAAATTATACTAATGATGGTAGTAAACAAGAGTTTCGTATTCGAAGATATAATGCATCTGAAATTGAACGATGGTATGCGACAGACGAGTGTTTCCTTTTTGATGTGCCATATCGTTTGTTTTGCCAAGCATGGTGGTGCTTTTCAGTTTTCAACTTTTCTCCGAGTGATAGAGTGTAGCTCAATTAACGTGTAATAAAAGTTGGACTTCATTCAACTCTTGGACTCTCCAATTATTTGTAAGGTGGAGTTTGTTGGTTTTAATAAGCATTAAGCTTTTGTGTTTCATTAGGTTGGAAAAATTTGGACTTTAATAAAGGGAATTGAGATCCTAGTTTGTCATATTTTTTTAATAGATTTATATATTTACACATTATAATTATATTTAAAAACAACATGCATAAAAGCATTTGAAATATTAATATGTATTTTAATTTTTATAATATGTTGTGTCCACTCGCCTAAATGTTTGGATATACGAATTTTTGGTTTTGTTTGGATTTTTTGATTTGATTTGATTAATTTTGAAAAAATGGTATGGTTAAATGCTAGTGGGTATATTAAAATAATATATTTTTTCAATAAGATCATAATACTAATTTCGTAGTAATTTTCTAACATAATTGGAAAATATATTCATTAAAATTATGAAAGTTGATTTGATTAATTATATTGTCATCTCATGGTTGTATATATTAATTTTATTGATTATGTTCACCAATCAGAAGCAATTAAATTATATAACAAATAACCAGAATAGTTGTTTTTGAATCATACTTAACTTAATGAATAATTTACATTATTAATAAAATTTTCTAAAATATGGTCAACTAACCATCAAAAAAGTACTTTTCCTTCGAATATATCTATTTATAGTTAAAAATTGTTGTATAAGAGATAAAAATTATTTAAATTTAATTAATAAATAATTAATATTTCAAGCATCTAGAATTATAATAAAGAAAAATAAATTTTATCAGTTAAACATTAATTAGTTATCGAACAATATGCAAGTATGACTTGTTAAAAAAGTTATAAGATCAAGATAATCAACAATTTTATAAATACATGTAATCAATTTGTATGCAACATCATATTTAAAGTCTTGGATATTGATAATATTTTATAAACTTATAAATAGTAAAATTTATATATTAAATAATAGTAACATTTATATATTACATAATCAAGGCCCATTACATAAATTAAAAAAATAAAAATATTCAAATAAATTTTAAATATTCTTGACTTGATATATTGTTTCGAATAAAACATAATCTTCAATAATTTAACAATAGTTGAATATATGAAATATTATTTTGTAGTATGTCCATTGCAAATGGTGCTGGAAGTGTCATTGTTGACAATTGTCCCGACATAGTGCTAATAATGGACTAGATCAAAATGACTCAATTAAATTCTAATGCTTCTTCTGTTAGTGAAATATATAGAAAAAAAAATATATCAAACGACGCAATGTACCTTGGGTCGCTATGAAAACAGTCTCCTTCTATAATTACAAGGGTAAGGTCTGCGTACAACTGACCCCCCAAACTCCAGCCAATTAAAAATATACTGGTATGTTGTTGTTGTTGTTGTATATCCCGGTATGGTACGGTTATCAATGATAGTCTAAATAGGAAATACAATGAGTAGGATGTCTGTGGTCGGGTCGGGTCAAATGGATCATAAGCGGGTTGGAAACCGACTGGAAACGGACGGGTTGACTCTCCATTAAAGTCGAAGAACCTCGTT